AAACAGCTTCAGCATACCCTTCACGATGCTCCTCGCCAACTCCGAAGTATAGTGGCCCGTCCGCGCCGTCACGCTCGGGCCGCCCATGACAAGGTCGTGTGCGTGCGACTGGTCGCACTGCCGATTGACATCCACGAGCAGCTCCTCGTGCGACGCTAGGAACCTCGTGGGCTTCCGGTGTGCTCCACCGCGCTCCGAGGTGAGGCCGCACATGCACTGGTCCACCTCTGCAGCGCAGCCTTTCCGAATGAGCCCCTGGAGTTCTGGTTCACTCCAGACTCGAGACCACCTCGGATTCTCAATCATCCAGGCTCCACCGTAGGTCTCCGCGACCTTCGTCACCTCCTTCACAAACCTCAGAAATGGTCAGTCTCGATCTTGCCGCTCTCGAACCTCGGCCTGATCCCTCTGGAAATACGTCAAGTTGCTCCAAGGTCCACAAGGAAAGGCCATGAGCACCATCTTAGGCTTCCTTGTCTTGATGTCCTGCAGCACTTCGCGACGCTTCTTTGGCGACCTGAGGTCATCGCCGAACTCCAGCGAGTAACTCCGCATCGTCGGGAGTCCCATCCTGGCCGCCTCCTTGCGCACCGCCTCCTTAGTCGCGAACACCTCTGTGATCCACGGCTGCGTCTTGGTCCTCTCGCTGATGGCAGCCTCGCACTCGGCCCCCCATGAACCGAAAGAGGGCCCAAACTCCTTCAGGTAGGCGTCAAGCTTGACGTCCACCGTCGCCAGGTCGCGCTGCAGGGAGTACAACTGGTCCTTGACCAGGGTCCTGATGCCGTGCTTCATCGTCTCCACCTTCGGGTTCAGGTCAACCCGGTCCGTGAAGTTCACCTCCTTCGTAACCTTTACCGGCATACACATGCCTAGCATCGCCGCGCCGAACAGCCAACTCGATAATGCCGAAGGTCCCCGAGCAGCGGGTCGAGCTCGAGGGTCGAAAGGCGGCGGGCGAACCCCCGCGCTGCCAACCGCTGGGCCTCTCGGACCCATGCGAGCCCGCACGAATAGCACCTCGTCGCACGCGTAGGCCGCGTCCTTCAGCGCAGGCATCGTCATCAGCTCCGGGTCGCCGTCCGTCGGTACCTCGCGATGGCGCACGTAGTCCACCAGCTCGGCCTTGCTCTTGAGTCCTAGAGAAGGAAGCACCCGCATGCGCCTCCTGGTCCCATTGGATAGTGCCGAGCTCGGTGTCCCAGGGGCCGGGCTACCCGCTGGCCCGGCGGAGCCTGAGGCTCCAGGCGACACACCCACGCTCACGAGCGCCTCGCCTTCCTCCTGAGGGGTCCTCCTCCGCTGCTTCGCGCCGTACTCCATCAGTCGGTCAATCAGCACCTTGACGCTCCAATGCTCCGCCCGCGGAATCTCCAGCACTCTCGCCATGTCCTCCAGCACGTCCAAGGGGACTCGTAGGAGCTGATCTCGATCACAGAGTAGCGGCCGCCCTTCGGATGCGGTCGGCCGTGGCCTCTCAGGTCCCGGCTCCCAGTAGAACCGAGTGATCGTGTTCCTCGGCGGGTCGAGCTGCTCGAACATCTCCTCGTTAGATAGCCCCTCGATCCACCGCAGGTCCTCGATGATATCGCCCGTATCCATGCAGAACGTCTCTCGGGCCCTCACCAACTTCCAGTTCGGCCCGTCGCGATTCGAGGGCTCGAGCGCCCTCGCGTTGTAGTCCTGACGCTCCCACATCTCAAGGCCGGAGACGTCAACCTCGCCGTCGGGCATGTTCCAGTCGCCCTCATCGTCGGGCACAGGTACCACGTCCTCAACTTCGGCGGCCCGTCGGTCTGCCGCACGGGCAGCCAACTCAGACTTCTCCGTCATCAGCGCTTCTCGCACCTTGGACTTGACACGGAAGACCGCCTCCGCCGTCGGGATCCCCGAGGGAGGCTTCCAGCTCCCACGCGGGAAGATCGGCATCGAATAGCGCCTACCGTCGGTCTCGTTCAGCCGCTTCGGCGTGATGCCGAGCCGGTCCGACTTGAACGAATCCTCCGCGAAGTTCATATCGGCGCCCATGCCGCGTAGAGCATCATTCCCGATGAGCAACTGCAACACCGAGTCCTCGACGACCGAGAAGGTCAGGTATGCGCCCACGCCGAAGACCGACACAGGCACCGCCCAGCGTTCCTTGGAGATCTGTTTCTGGCCGTTCCCGAAGCGGAAGATCGCGAGCTGCGGCCCCTTCTTGATGTAGTTCTCGATGCCCAGCTCCCTGCACCGATCCTCGAGTCTATTGGCGTACGAGTCGCCCGACACCGTGCTGTTGCAGGCTGAGTCGAGCGCGCCGTCGTCTCCTTGACCCCCGATGGACGCTGACGAGAGCAGCACCTCCTGAATGGCTCGCTCGTCCCTCGACCCATCCGAGGGCATCGGACCGGCAGAAGAATGGGGGCGCAGCCCAGCACCAAGACCCGGGCCATCCGCCGACCCTGCGCCATGGTCGACGGAAGAAGAGGGGGCATCACTCCCCATCCCAGGGACTGGCCCATCTGCCGGCCCTCCGCCAACGGAAGAAGAGGGGGCACCACTCCCCATGCCAAGGACTTGCGTCGCCATCAGGACTTCATACGAACGAGTCGTGCTCGCCAAGATCCTCTGCTGCCTGCTGGCCAGCGCCCTCGTAAATCTCCGTGTAGTCCCGCCCACACATCGAGCGCCGGACATCGCGGTCGTCTCCTTCGTAGACGCAGTCCGGGCAGAAGGGCGGGTAGTCCAGGTGAGTGCGCTTGTCGTCCGTCTCCTTCGTCGCCGTCACCCCGAACACAGTAGTCTCATCCTGCTCGTGCTCGCAATTGCTGGTCATCAGCACCTCGAACACGTCCTTCTGAATCTCTACCATCTGTGCGTCCAACCGAATCTCCAGCGTCTGCAGCAGGTCCACCACCATCGCGCCCTTCGGCTTGAACCGCTGCTGCAGCTTCTTCTTGGCCTGCTCAGCCTTCCACTCCTTGAACTTTGGGCAGCAAGCATCACCAGCCCAGTGCCCCTTCTCGCCGCAGGCGTGGCAGTCCGAGTTTTCCTGTCGGGGCTGCTCTTGCCGAAGCTCGACGTGAACTTCTTGCCGCTGCTCGAGCTTGAGCCTGAACCTCTGCCACCGCCCTTGCCGCCAAACTCGCGGTCCTTCCGAAGCTCCTGCACGCGCTTCTTGCTCTCACGCACCGTGATGAGGCCCTCCATTATTGATTCCACGCCGCTCTCTAAGTTCCCGATCTCCTGGGCCCGCTCTGGGTCGTTCTCCGCCTCTTCGAGCACCGTCGAGAGCGCCTCCAGCTCGGCGGCGAGGATGCCCTCTATGTCGTGGTCCTGCTCCGTCGCCAGGGCCTCGTCGACCGTCTCGTCGTCGGCGTCTCCGTCGAAGCTGCCAACCAAGCTCCGCATTTAGCGCCTCGAGTTCACCCTCGTCTAGCTGGCTGATCCCATCAAGGTCCTCCGTCACGTGTGCCTCTCGGAACTTCCGAACCACCTTCTTCTTCAAGAGCTGCGCCCCTGGGCGGTTGAAGGTGATCGGTCCCCTGCTGCGGTCGAACGCGAGGGGCCTTCGCTCCGTGACGTGCAGGTTGGGAGACACCCGCATCATGGCTGGGCCCACCTCGCGTATCTCCATGCTTCCGCCGGTCGAGGTCATCAGCATGCTCTTCTGCGTCTCGTTCAGCCCGGTCTTCTCGATCAGCCACCAGCCCGCCTTTCTCGCCGGTAGGGCCACGTCTTCCTCATCTAGCTGGCTGCGAGCCTCTCCGAACCTGATCATCCACGAGTTCAGATCCTCGCCGGCCCTCCTATGCAACTGCTTGTAGAAGTAGTTAATCACCTGGCCCCTGCGAGTCGGCTCGTCAACTCCCATCGTTGCCAGCACTTCCATCAAGCGGTTGATGCCCGCCATCAGGTCGGGCTCCTGCCAGTGGCCTCGCTCTTCTTCTTCGTCGTGATCCCCCCTCTCGGCCGCCTCAGCGGCCGCCTCGGTACTCGACTCCTCGGGGATCCACATCCACTGCTTGGGCCGCAGCTCCACCATCGGGATGGACTCGCCGAGCGTCTTTGCTGGGCCAGTCAGGCAACGCACCATCCGTGCCGCCCAGCTCCAACTCACGCCCAGGTTGATGACTTCAATCCACAGCGCCACGTCCTTCTTGCATCTTCTCCACCGCGACGGGCTGCCGTCCCAGCTGGGTATGCCCTCGAGGTCGCGGCTTGTCCACGCTGGCGCTGTCATCCAACTTGTCGAGGAGCGCTGCGTCCATGAAGCTCCTCGTCCTCCACTCGGCCGTGGAGGGAGCGCATCTGGCGAGAGCGTGCCGCCGCCCATCGCCGGATAGCGCTCTGGTGTCGATGTCTGCCGCATCGCCCGTCGTCGTCGCAGTCCGTGTACACGTCCTGGTAGTTCACGTTCTCAGTCCAGCACGCCTGCGTACCAAACTCTCCACGTAGATCTGTCTGTGCCTCCTGCAGATGGCGCCCGCGCGGCGGCGGGCTCCGCTACCACTGCGGAACCGGGTTGGGCCCTCTCTTGACCTCCCGATCCCGCAGCGGGGGTCGGCGGCGGAGCCCGCAGGGCTCGAGGTGGAGCGGGCCCCCTTTTCCAGTCCTGCTGCCAGGAACCAAATCGCCTCAAGCCGGCTCGAACCGAGCCAGCAGCAATGGGAGAGAGATAAGAGGGAGAAAGGGCGGGGGAAAAGAGTATATAACGGGCTTAAAGCCGAGAGCAGGGGACTGATCCAATCCGAAGGGCTCGTTTTTCCTCAACAGCCACAACCACCACGGCAGCGACTCTCACGTGCAGGCACACCATGGCGGCCTCCAAGGAAACCACGACAATCGCAACGGTGACTTCTTCGAGGACGCATGTCACGGCGGCTACCACGACACTCACGACAGCCACGACAGCGACTCATGCGAGGAAGCACGCCGCGGCGGCTACCACGACAACCACGCCAGCCACAACAGCGACTGATACGAGGTAGCACCGCCGGCTCTTGCATCAGCGCCGATGACTACAGCAGCACCACCGACTGCAGCAGCACCGCAGACTCTGGCAGCACCACAGACTCTCGCAGCACCACCGACTCCGACAGAAGCGCCACCGACCCCAGCCACACCACCGAACCCAGCAGCACCACTGACTCCGGCAGCATCGCCGATTGTGCCATCAGCGACGCAGACTCCAACAGCACCACGCATCTCAGCAGCACCACCGAGCCCAGCAGCACCAGAAATTCGAGCAGCACCACAGACTCCAGCAGAAGCCCTCCCGACCCCAACAGCAGCAGCGCCAACGACCCCATCAGCAGCGCCTCCGACTCCAGCAGCAGCACAGTCTCCACCAACACCACTGCCCTCAGCAGCACCACCGAAACCAACACCAAAGACTCTGGCATCAGTGCTGCCAACTCCAGTGCTACCGCCTCCAGCAGCACCACCGTCCCCATCAGCACCACAGACTCCAGCAGCACCGCGAACTCTGGCATCAGCGCTCCCGACTCCAGCAGCATCACCGACTCCAGCAACACCATGGAATTCATCACAACCACCGCAGCACCACGTACTTCAGCAGCAGCGCCGCCGACTCCAGCGGCGCCGCCGACCCTAGCAGCACCACAGACTCCAGCAGCACCACCGACTCCGGCAGCAGCACCACCGACTGCAGCAGCACCAGCGACTCAGGCAGCCACACCGACCCCAGCCCCACCACCGACTCTGGCGGCAGCGCCGCCGACTCCAGCGCCACCGACTCTAGCGGCGCCACGGACCCCAGCTGCACCACCGACCCCAGCAGCACCACCGACTCCAGCAGCACCACCAACTTCAGCAACACCGCCGAACCCAGCAGCGCCACAGCCTCAAGCAGCACCACCGCCTCCGGCAGAAGTGCTGCCGACCCCAACAGCAGCAGCGCCACCGAATCCAGCAACAGCGCCACCGACTCCAGCAGCAGCGCCGTCCCCAGCAACACCACCGTCCCCGTCAGCACCACCGAAACCAAAACAAAAGACTTCGGCATCAACCCTACTGACTCCAGGACTATCGCCTCCAGCAGCACCATCGTCCCTAGTAGCACCACCTACTCCAGCAGCACCGCCGACTCCGGCATCAGCGCCGCCGACTCCAGCAGCACCACCGATTCCAACAGCACCGCAGAGTTCATCAGAATCAAAGACTCCAGCGGCACCGCCGACCTCAGCAGTACCACCGACTCCAGCAACACCACCGACTCAGCACTACCGACTCCAGCAGCACCACCGATCCCAGCAGCAGCACTAACTCCAGCAGCGCCGCTGGGTCTATTCTGAGACATCTGTACTGTGTGTATCCTGAGGCATCTGAACTGTTCGGAGTTGAGAAGCTATCGGCCAAGCGGCTGGGACAGAAGCAACGCAGAAGGGGTCAACTATACCTGCATGTTGCAATTCTGACACACTGGCCCCGTGACATTTGTTTGCCCTATAGCGGCAAATCCCACAAAGTGGGATAACGTAGTCGGCACGGCATGCAACATGGGGGGAGGGGGTGTTGTTCGCCTGGTTGGAGGGTGTATGTAGGTTGTGGGGTGAAAAAGATGGCGTCCGTTACGTTGCGGACCAAGCACGTAGACCTTGTGATGGATGTCGCAGCGCAGCTGCTCCCGAGACGAACAGCGGCTAAGAGTCACCCCGTTTCTCGCTCCATGCCGCCCCCGTGTTCACTTGGCGTGTCAGCACCTCTCAGTCGATTGGCGTTCACCGGAAGCCGTTTCTTTCATGTACGGGGACTTTGTAGGATGAGGGGATGGTTCATCATGAGGTTGGTTGGGTGGAAGGGGGAGTTGACAGAATTCATTGCGAGCGCCCGGTCGCTTCCTCTGACACCCGCTGTGGACCGAACACCTTTGATAGTGTGGGAAATATTCCAGCGCGGCGGCGCCCGAGACGATGAGTGTACGATCGGCCCGTTATTTCTGTCTTCAGCCGTGATGCCCGAGACATTGAGTGGAAGATGTATGTAGGCGAAGGGCGAAGAGATGGCATTCATTGCGGTCGCTCGGTTGCTTCCTTTGCAACCTGCTGCCGACCGAGCACGTCAATGTAGCGATGAATGTCCAAGCGCAGCGGCGCCCGAGACGAACAGCAGCTGACTGTAGCCCCGCCTCTCGGTCCACTCCGCCGCCATGTTCCCTTGGCATGTAGGAATATCTCAGTCGATTGGCGTGCACGGGAAGCCGTTTCTTACAGGAGTGATGGAGGATGTTTCAAAGACAGAAAATAGGTTGTGGGGTGGAGGAGATGGCATGCATTGCGGTCCCTCTGTTGCTTCCCTGGCACCTGTTGGAAACCGAGCACGATGATGGTCTGACGAATGTCCCAGCGCAGCTGCGCCCGAAACGAGCAGCGAACGAGTGCAGCCCTGTCCCTTCCACCCCGCTTCCATGCTGGTCGGCCCCTGAGGCACCAGGCCACCGAGACAGACGACGGGTCGCGTCGCCCTCTCAGGTGCGCCCGTCTAGGGACCTCACGGTCGGTTTCGGTATCCCTTGTGAGAACTGCCCGCCACTCATAGGGGGGGGGGGCCTGGGGGGGGGCTCCCTGGTTTGTGGGGACCTCCCCCTCGCTCTTCTTCCTCTCCTCGTCCTCGCCTCCCCCGCTCCTCCTCCTCTGCTGCTTGGCCTCTCGGGTCGTCCCCGTCAGCGTGCTCCCTCCTCCCTTGGGGCAGCACCCCCCTTCGGCTAGAGGAGCCTTTTTACAAAACCGCTTCCCGCTGTGGAGGCCGGGAAAGGCGGCAGTCGGAGACTTCTAACGCCATGAGGAATCAGGAATCGGGAGGAGGAGGAGGAGGAGGAGGAGGAGGAGGAGGAGGAGGAGGAGGAGGAGGAGGGGGAGGAGGAGGAGGAGGAGGAGGAGGAGGAGGAGGAGGAGGAGGAGGGAGAGGACAGGAGGCTTCTTCGAAGTGGCTGGCGGTTTTCAAGAATGCTTGAAGGTCAGAGGGCTTCGAAGAGGGCAAGACGGGCGGGGCACCAAAGTCCAGCAAAAGCAAGGCATCGTGCGACGCACCAGTAGCGGAAAAGGCCCGCGCGGAGTGCTCTCATCACGGCTCCTCGTGGCACGAGCCCGCTGCCGGCTGCTGCTGCTGCTGCTGCTGCTGCTGCTGCTGCTGCTGGGGACTGGCTGCCGCATAAGTTCCAGGGAGTCTGGCACGTGAGTGGCAACATGTGGGGAGCAACGCGCAGCGCGCGACCGCAGCTGCGTTCCCCTCAGAGACCTGACGAGCGGCCCGAGAGCCGCGGAAGCTCGAGTGTGGAAGAAGCAACTGATGGTCGCAGCGCTTAGTCTTGGTTTGACTCGCCTCATAATCGGTCGAGGAATAGTTGCTTTATCTGCGGGCACTTGCGAGCACCGCAAGGCTCGAAAACACCACATGCACGACTAGGACAAAGAAGCACAGGTTTGGCGCATGTTCTCTCCTGCACCGTCCTCCTGGCAGACTTCTCGACGGGTCGTGCCCTCGGGATTACGAATACAGTGCTACGTTCTCCCTACGAGAGATTCCATTATTATGCTACCGCGCCCGTCAGGCGCTGTGCCGCATCGAGCCAGGAGCTTGGGTCGGCTACCCTGCAGTCCCAAGGAGCACACTAAGTCTGACCGAATCCACCACGGCGCACTCTGGCACCCATTGGAGTGGCATAAGCGTCCACGGCGACAGCAAAACTGACAACAACCGAGCCGACAAGAAAACCGGAACCGACAGAACCGAAAGACCAGATGCAGCCTAGAGGGACGAAGCAGCTCAAAAACCGATCGAACCAAACCGACCAAACGCAGCCGACTGCGACGAAGCCGGCCCGACCTCCTGTCCTGAAGCCCCGCCCCCCCTGGCACGTTCCCAACGCCACAACGAGCGCCCCAAGGACCAGCCAAGGCGCCCTCTGACAGTCGAGGCGGCGCACAGAGAACCCCAATACGCATTCAAGACAACCCAAGACACCCGTAGACGCCCCGAGAGAGCAAGAAAGCCCTAACAGACCCAAGAGTGCCCGAAGGCGTACCCAAGACGCCAACGAGGCCCAAAGAGGATCCAAGAACCCTTCAAGAAGCCCTATCCAGAGGGCTGTCTAGAAGAAAACAAAACGTAGATTCATTTGTGATCGTTTGTGCTTGCCTCGCGTCCATCCCGTTCAGACACAATGAGATACCATCAAGGGGCGCCCAAGGTTACCCCGAAAAGACCCCACGCGGTCCCAAAAATGGCCCTGAGATGTAGCATCGCTTCCCCAGGACGGCTCCAAAAAACCTCAGGACCTCCCCAAAACGGCATAACACTCCATCCAGACAGCTCCGGGAAACTCCAAAAGCTGCAACTAGACCTCCCCAGGACGGCCGTAAGACCGTTGGTCCGAAGATAATCCGAAGACCCCCAGTAGGCCCAAGGATCCCTCCAGCAGGCTCCTGGGATGCCAAAAGCCTCCGATGTCACAATTTACGGTGCTCTGGGGCCTCGACATTTCACGTTACTGCGAAGCCACGTCCGCACTACCCTTCTGGTCACCTATCAAAGAATTGCGCTGGCGCGGTGTCGGAACATGCCACAGGCTATGACATCCTGCTGTCAGAGCCCATTGGAGCTGCTAGCACTATACGAATCCGTCCAGCATGCAGGACAGCGCGGTGAAGACGCCGACAGATGTCGATAGCACCACGGATGAGAGCGACGACGCCTAGGACGAGACGACCCATGGGACCACCTCTTGGAGGCTGAGTTGAACAAGGCGACGGCCTCGTGCCAGATGGCCCTGGTATCGATCAAAGGCGACGCGGGTGCCGCAGGGTGGGGCCGAAGCACCCGGGAAATGATCGGCGCGTGAAACTTCAGTGAGAAACCAAACCTTTACCGACCATACTCTGCGGATGCGTCTTCTGAGCCAGACCGCTAATCTGTCACTGAAAGAGATCGACAAGAGCATGCAGGGCGCCACACGGAGAGCACGAGAGATGAGAACAGTGCCACGATTCCGGAGTCGTGG